CTTCTTTTACACCTCTTGACCTTTGACCTTTGACCCCCAGCTTCGACATCCCAACTCGTTTTCGGATTCCCCCCCCCCCCACACACACACACACATCCCGAGTTTCGAATCCATACGTCGAGCCGTTTAGATTTGTGCCCAACTGTTGACGGACAGACGCACGGACGGACGCACGATCATGCGATTCTACAAGCTGCATCTGACTATGTCAGATAAGCTAAAAATAGAGCCCTGAGTACTAAGAGCATATTAGGCACCACACGTGCATGCCCTTCTCATAACACCAACCTCACCCTCAGTGAGAAGTAATATCAGATTTTTTAAATATTTTCAAAATTCGTTCAAATGAAAACATTTACCATACCATGAAAAGATTGGTGCACTCTATGTAATCTATTTCCATATGCTATGTTTGGAGCTACGTATACTTCGGGTAACTAAATATAAAGATCTGTGCTGACCAATGATTACAAAAAGTTACTCCGTAAAAAGAACATTACTATTTGCAACTGAATATAGATATTGGCTAAATGACCTATTAAATATTTTAAGTGAAATCTTGGTCAGTCATTTCCACCCGAGGATCATCATTCTTGCTGTCAGCCGCTGTGTTCTCTGTATGCAAATCTAGTTCTCCGTTATTCCATCTCGTCCATTCTGAAAGCGTCTCTGGCAATTTCCTGTTACGAGTTTCTGGGAAGAATAGCACGGTTACAGCTGCTAGCATAGCCAGGCCTCCGAAAAGAAATGGTTGAAGAGCTGGAATACTATCTTGCTGCGGGTAAAAGACAATAGACACGACTAAATAAATAACAAAATAAACTAGCAAGAGTAATTGTCATCCTGGCAGGTTAACAGAAATAATTACCAATGTCACCACGTATTGTTTTTTTTCCTGATATGGACAATGTGCATGTCAAGACAAAAATGCAAAAACGATTAAGAATCTTATACCCCGTACAGCTAGCTAGACTACGAATTTTATATGGTATTAAACTAGCGCAAGCCAGGCCCGAGCCAAATTTTTGCAGTGTGTACATGCTATCCCGCTCCAAATACGCGCTGGCCCGCTCCAATTTGGTCCCGCAAATGAAGGAGGGCCTGGCAGACACGGGATAACTAATTAGCCCGGGATAACATAGCCCGCTTGTGTGTGTGTCTGTACGCAACAAGCACATGCGTCTAAACAGAGGAATTGCTCCGACCTGTGATTGGAGGATAAAAATAGACCCCGCCCACTCCCGCCGCATACGCTATGCTATGACGGGTAGGAACGTGCAGGGGCGTAGCCAGTATGTAGCACTGTAGGCCCGGGCCTACACTTTTTTGGCCAAGTTATCTTCTTTTTTTTAAACACCCATAATTCAAATCCATAAGCTTGCTGGACGAGTTTAAGAGTCTAGGCAGGAAAAACTATTCAAATGAACGTAGCAAGAATATGGCTAAATTAGGGACCTATTCTTTTGTCATCTAGGCTGTCATTTCTATCGCGTGCCGTTTCATTCTACACTCTACCCGCCGAAAAAGACTAGGATCCGATCTTGTCAGTTTTTTAACATTTTAACTCGTTCGTAACACTATTTTAACTCGTTTGTGTCCCTATTTTAACTCGTTC